CTGCAGGGCTCTGACAATAAACAGTGCACACAGCCTGCTTTATCTGTGCATGTGCTGCTGTGTCCACTTTGAGACGCTCCTGTGCCACGTGTCTGCCAGACAGGAATTCCAGCCACCCTGATCTCTGCTGCGGGAGCCGTCCGCTGAATGTCGGCCCTCACTTAACAAACATAAGGGTCTGGCAGTTAAGAGAGGAAGACCGAGCAGCAGTTGGGATGTCACCCTGCCCAGAAAATCTGCCCGGCCACTGGTTACATGCCTGGGATTCTTTTCTACAAGCTGCTCTTTCCTGCTTTGATTTTTTTCTCTCAAACATTTTCCTCCACCAGACAGTGGCAAAGGAAATATTTTCCAGTCCAGAAATAAGTTGCTTTTAATTGCTTTGCCTTGTGAGCATACACTCGGTGGTCTGTGCTGCTGTAAAAATGTGCCTTTGATTGATGTTCATTAGGGGCGAAACAGGGTGGTATGCTGCTCGGCATTGCAGCCGCGTTCCATTGGAGTTACACTGTTCTGAAAACAAACCGCTCCAACCGGCCCGCACATACTTTCCCTGTGAGATCCTGCTCGGTGCTTTTGAATGAATACAGCATTATAATGCTCCAATAGGCTCAGTCATCATGTGAACTTTCTGCACCAGACTAGGTTTGAATATCATATAATGTAGGTCATGCAGGTTGACTGAGGTAATGCAGAGCTTTGCTTTGGGAAGACAAGTTTCTCATTTTGGATAATAAGCAGGTTAGCGATGCATTAAACTACAAATTTGCACCCCTTTGAAAAAGCAGACTCGTCTAGGTCCTTGTGACCTCATGACGCCACGACTTGTAAATGATTTACTGCTACATGATAGCATGTATTCAAATGGGCTCTGTTTGACTTTCATTGTCAAACCGTGTTCTGCCAGCAGGAAAGAAGTAGTTTTTTCTTCTTGACAGTGACACAGCAGGTCAGAACATGTGGCACTTCAGCAACGGAAACAGACCCGCTGACATTAAAGTTCTAAAGTCTTGCAAATCCTGACTGTGGCAGTTGCTACGCATGCAGGCACGCCTCTGCATTGTAACGAATGGAAATATAACGTGCAGCATTCACTTCTTTGTGCATTTTTTCATCTGCTGTTTTAACTGTAACAATAACTGCCATTCTCACGTGTTGACGCTCATCTGTTGCTGAGCATCCTGCAGCTGTGATCAGAACATGTGCCTGTATGCATGAGTGACTCCACCACAGAAGACATGCAGTCCTGCTTCTCGCACCACAGCGTCACACCCTGTTCATGGTGGAGTCAGTCCTGGCGCAGTGGTCTAGACTGAACATAGACACATGGTGCCTGAAGAAAGTCAGATGCTCCCTCTGCTCCTGGAGCTGCACCACGCTGCATTGTGTACAAATGCCACAAATTCAAGTAGCAACTAAGTTGTCTTCAAGAGTCAGATGGGCTTGTCACAAGATTAAAGACCTTTGCTCCTGCAGTTTGAGATCATTTTATTTTCAGTTTCATGAAGATTGAACATTGCACGTCCTCAAAAATTGAAGAAGTACTCATGCTTACAGTTGCTATGATTCATATTTCTATGTTAATAGTGCATCTAATGCTAATGTGAGTTATAGTGTCATTGTTTTGCTTCCCAGCATGCAAATTTTAAAAGCATATTGTGCAGTTCCCAGGAAGGATGTAATTTTTAACTAGCATGCAAATTTAGATAGTCGTTGCATCATATTTACCATCAGTCTCCTTCCCACTTCCCCCTTTTGCCCCCAATCTCCCCTTCACTGTGCACGAGCATGCCCAAGACGTAGTCGGCCTGAGGCACTTTGTTAGACATTAACAGATTTAGGACTGTGCACGCAACACTGGATTTTTGGTCGGTGCACACACATACAACAGACAGCTAGCAGACTGTGAAAAGATATTCTCTGAATTAAAAAAAAAAAAAGGGCCTTGGATTGGAAGTGCATACTTCACCTTTAACCCTCTGAACTCAAACGGCTTCTAGGTTTGTTTTGCTTCTGTAATGTTTTACTTACTGTGGGCTTTTTCTTCCATCTCTATGGAAACAGCACAACCATGGCTAGAAGCAGAGAAAGCCAACAATGTCTTTTGTGCAGTATGACGGTTATGATGCAAAGAATCATAGAAAAGAAGTTTGATTTATTTGATTATTCATTAATTCATCAAGTGATAAAACCTTGAATCAGCCTGTACAACATGTTTGCCAACAGCTGTTCCAAACGTTGGAAAATATGGAGGCTCTACATACTGTAAATGTTTTACTACTTCCACTTTTTTTTATACTTCACCCCTATCTGCTCTGCACAGCCTGCAGTGAAGACAGAAAGTTCCTGAATTTTTGTCACGTGACTGCTGGTTTTAGCTGAGTCACTAATGGCTTCTCTGTGTGCTGAAGGTGGCATACATTTTTATTTATCGTACAATCTGTTGAGAGCAAACAGTTTATTTTTGGCAAGTTTTTAAACGAGACACACAGAACAATGGGATTTTGATGACATCACGATTTTTGAGCTTAGATTTCACACACAGTTCAAGGACAAAGCTCAAAATCCGATCTTCTGTCTGTTTTCACAATTTCTACATCTGATAAATCGTGTGATTTTATAGATTTTGTGTGAAGATACCGTGGCTTTAAAAGCTGCTGGTGAGTTTTGAGGTTTGGAGGCAAAGCTATTTTTCCATGTCTGTGTGTCTGCAAGGGTTTGCATAAAACCCTCTGCAGACGTCCACGTCCAGCCCTAAATTTGCAACTGCACGGAGACTGTATGTACTGCCAGTGAGCCAACTGAGCATGCACAGAGAAAACAATATGTGTGCTTATTTTAAAGAGAGAGGCTATGTGAGGACATTCTATACTGTAGCTCTGTAGAGATTCTCTAAACATTCATATACTCAATCTATGTTATTTAGAAACATGTTTATTCGTATTTTTTTACACTGATTTTTTTTACGTTCACACAGAAATCCCTGTAAGACTCCAGCTGTTATTCAAAACAGTTAAGCTTGTCCAGCAAAATGAAAACAAATTATTGCATTCAGCAGAGAAGCACATGAGACTTTCCCGTGTGCTCTGCAAATGTGAACTTTGCCTGTGACCCTTGTGCAGAGTTGGGTGAGGTGGATGTTTGGAATTCTTTCTCAGTTAATAATACCTGCTTCATTGCTCTGAATCTCATTCTGTATGCAAACTCTCCGGTAATAACGTGTAAGGCCAAAGGGCAGATTACTAATGCGTCAAGACTGCAGGTTCACAATCAGGTGGCTTCCAGAGATGTCATGAGACAAAAGCTGTAACCGCTTGCGGAGCCTCCCTATAAGGACACTTTGGGCACGGCGTCCGCCCCGATCGCTCTTACGTCCGCAGGCTTCTCCTCTGCCTCCCCCACGTCTGCTCATTATGTGCAGTTTAGTGCTCACTCAGCTCTGGGGTGCTCCAAAGTTCACAGGAAGGCGAAGAGGGAGGTGTGGGGTGGGAGAGTCGTTCCTGTTACTGAGGTCAGAAGGCTGTGTTTTTTTTCCCATCCATCCCCCCCTTTTTCTGTCTCTCTTTCTGTCTTTTGTTCGTCGTGATAAGCAGTCAGGTGGCAGCAGGGGGAGAAGTCTCCCTATCACCTACCACCACCTTCTCTCACTGCTAGGCATGTGCAGATTAGATCAACCTCTTTAACTTCACAAACCACAAGCCCGCTGTCATTTTCCTACTATTCAGACTCCTATTTTGCTGACGCAGTTAGTTCTGCTACGAGGTCGTCATGCAACATTTTATGCACGTATATTTGCTTTTCAAGCCCTTTGTTTTGGGTTTTCTTTAAGGGGAAAATCATCTAAAATCAAAGAGTTTCTCTTAGAATCTTGCATGCATGCATCTTCCCTTACAGCATTACAACCAGAGCTGCACAAGTGATCATTGTACAGTGATTGAGGTGATTGTGTAGGGGAGTGCATCTGCTCTGAAAATAAAAAATTATTATAAGGCAGATAAAAGCAAAGGCATCCAAATCTGTGTTTTTGCTTTGGGTTGCATTCAGTTCTGGCTTTGTCATACAGAGCTTTGTGGTGATGATTTAAATGATCAAATAACTGACGTTTCATTTCTTTTTACAACCAACTTCTTGCGATTTGACTATTGCACATAACTGAGCAACCCAAACGTCTATTGGGTTGTTTAGTCTGTTTCTATTTGTCCACTTTCCAAAGAGTTGAAACAACAACAATACTATTGGTATTTCCATTCAAGCAAACGTCTTGCTTCAAAACCTTCAAAATGTCAAAACCTGACTTAAAGTGTGAAGCATTCAACTTGAATTCAAACGTTTTAGATGGTAGAAAACTAATATTATTGTGTAATAGTGAGCTGGCTGATAATAGAGGCAGTGTCGTGTTAAAGTGAGTGAAATGACTGTTGGTCCAACATCACCGTTTTCTTATGCCACTCAGGAAGTAGAACATCCATCCATCCATCCATCCATCCATCCATTATCTATACACCGCTTAATCCTCACTAGGGTCATGGGGGGGCTGGAGTCTATCCCAGCTGACTCAGGGTGAAGGTAGGGGACACCCTGGACAGGTCACCAGTCTATCACAGGGCTACACTTAGAGACAGACAACCAAGCACACTCACATTCACACCTACGGACAATTTAGAATCACCAATTAACCTCAACATGTTTTTGGACTGTGGGAGGAAGCCGGAGAACCCGGAGAGAACCCACGCTGCACGGGGAGAACATGGAGACTCCACGCAGAAAGATCCTGGGTGTCCTCACCGGTATGCAAACCGGCGATCTTCTTACTGCGAGGCGACAGTGCTAACCACTGAGCCACCTCGCAGCCTGGAGGTAGAACAGCTTGTGGTAAAAATCATGTCAAGCAGCCATTTTCAAAAACAACAAGTACTTTAATAAATATGTACACTATTACACATTTTTAAGATGTTTGTAACACTTGATATTGAGGGCCATAGTCTCCAGGTCATCTGCTTGATTTTGTTGGTCAGTGTGCTCTCGTCTGTCTAAATTCTCATTGGTCAGATAATCACTGCTGTTACTTTCAGATGGAGAAACATCAACATCCTTCCACAATCAGGTCATTATTTTTGGTGGTGGGAGGAACAGACTACCCATGAACATCCCCACGTTTTCACAGCTTTGTACTGGCTCAACACAATGGAGGCTGCAAGGTCCGACTTATTTAGAATTTGCAAAATGTTTGTTCTGATTCGGCTCCAAACCAGCTGGCCCTGTGTCGAAGAAGTTGGCTGTGTGGCTGCATTTTTTTGGACGGCCCAAATGTCGAGTGTAAACTTTGCAGGCAGCAGTTTTTATATCACAATTCAACAACCAGCATGGCAGATCATCTAAAAACGGTAGGGGTGCTTGTCTGTTTGCAAAACTGTAGGATTAAGCTAGAAACTCCAACATGCCTCAAAAAGATTTTTTTTTTAAAAAGCGCTCTTTGTTTAAGTCAGTAGTGCAACTCCAAGCGAATTCAAAGTTTCTATCAAATCCCTTAACAAAGTGAAAAAAGTTCAGACTGTGTAATAAAGTGCAACCAGGATATTGTGGATTGTTTAAAGCACATAGCAGTTCAAGAAACTCATTTCTTCCTATTGTATAGTTGTTCTCTGACAGCAGCTTTGAATTCTATGAAAACAAAGCCAAATTCACATCATAGCATTATGTGTACAGGCAGACTGTCGGTCTTAATGAGTTAGTATCTGATAACAAAAACAGAAAAACATGCATATGAAGCAGTCTTATTGGGAACTTAGCTGTATTACAATACGCTATATGTGAGCACAGCAAGCTGGAGCGAAGCAAACAGACATGAAGCGCCTCCTGTGTGTTTTTAATCGTGCATTGTGCTTCTGTGATCTGTCATCCAAACTCTACTCAGTTTACAAACCGGCTTTTTGTTCTGTGTCCATTTGAAGTAACTCCAGACTTCCAAAACTTTGGGTCTTTGGAAACTTTTACACTGAACCATCATCTAAAACTGTGTTGCTGCTGAGAGCAGCTGACCAGTGACTGGAGCCAAAAAAATCATGGACGTCATAGCACAACGATTACGCAGGGATACTGAAGAAAAACATTGGTTAATGAATTGATGTTGAAAATGTGTTGAATAAATATTGATGTGGACACATTTTTAGCATCAGCACCATTGATTATACCGACTAACTGCAGCAGCTCTGAATACTAGCTCTTTGTGTTTATTTAGAGTTCATTGAGGCTAATAAGATCCGAAGGTGGAGTGCACTCAGGGCACTGTGGCCCATTTAGGTCATCCAGAGATGATGTGCAGATTTTTTTCTTCCCATGACCAATCAATTGATTGAAGAGTAGACACCAACTCACTCAAACGAGGTTGTCTTTGATTAGGCTCTGCTCAAATCCTTCTTAGAGACTCGTATGGAAAGCCTGTTATAACGATATCTGTGAAGTGGTGCTAGTTCTGATGAACAACACTGCTGCATGAGGAGATGCAGGAGGAAAGATTTTATGGTAAACATACTTGATTTTATAGGAAGAATTTACACTCAACAACCAGCAGTCAGGGACTTGATGAGTGAATCTTCTCTTGAGACAAAATCAGTGAAAGAATGAACACAAAGAGACTTCAGCATGTAAAGTTGTGTGTGCGTTGGGAGGTGGGGTGGAGGGTTAGTTAGGCATGTGAGTGTGGGGAAGTGGGGAAGAGGTGAGAGCTTTCTCTGATAATAACCTTGGAGGAAAGGCGTGAAAACATGGTCTGTATGCGTAGTGGTAAAACTGGGGAGGAAGAGTTCTTGATGTTTATCCTTAAGCAGTGGACCGTGTCAAAAAAAAACTAAGCTGGCCTCGTTGACTGACACGTCGTTTGGTTTTTGTTACCCTTCCCACAGCAGTTTGTATCCCATATTACTGGTTTTGAAGCTTAGTGTAAAGCAGAATGCGATGAGCTGATCAGGGCGTGCTGCAGTCGGAGGTGGAATGAAAGGAATTTTCTTTGTACTGTTTATAGTTTTTCTTTTTTTTTTTGTTTTTAAAAGCAGATTTATATGCACAGAAAGAACCTTGTGTTGCCAAATGCACCAATTTATGCTGTGCTCCTGAATGACAGGGTGATGCAGTTAGTCAGGAGTGTAAATGCTGGATTATTGCAACAATGAGAGCTGTGACTTGGTTGTTTGGCTCCATGTGAGAGCAGCAGGCTAAAGGTGGTGTGAGAATGAGGGGCTGTGGGTTTACTGAATTCCTATCCGGTGAGCGGAGCATTGGTTTCTGTCTAGACAAAGCTCAGTTGTCGGGGAGACCCGTGCAGATCCAGGACTGCCCCGGGCTCCAGGAAGTATTGGTGGGAGAGGAGAGTGGGCTGTTTTTTTTTTTCCATCCTGCTCACTTTTCCCTCCTTGGGGGATTTCAACGAATGCAGCCTATTGCTGAGAGTGGGATTTTTTTTTTTTGTGTTGCTTGTGGGAGTTTTTCTCCCATGATAGGGTGGAGACAGCTTGGTGCATTTGTGCAGTGATATCAACAGCATAAAAAAAGATCTCACTGCTTTCATGTCTCCCACTCAGCAGGAAATAGCAGCCTGGCCCACCTTGCATGCAGAACAATCACAGATGCACACCCTGCCACACACACACTCACTCACTCCCTTGTGTAGGATACAGTGTAGGATCCGTCACATTAGCCACTTTTTCACCTCCTGACGCCGCCAAACCGCAAAAGCAGATCTGTAGCGCTCTGCCAGTGGAGCCACTTTGTTTGGCTCTATTGTCTCTGAGTGATTGTGTGCAGCAAGATAAGGAGGAACAAGCAGCGTGACGGTTCGCGCGGCGTCGGATCAGGGAGCAGACAGGGCTGACTAAGGGTTCATTAACTGTTACACTCAGCCGTGCCCTCGGGGCTCTTTCTTGGAGCCGGGTACGCCGTTCCACTGGAGTCGAGACAGCTCCTTGTCTTTAGAGGATTTGTAGTGTTGACAGCAGAGTTATTAGGTGTTTCCAGTATCTAAGTGTCTGGAAAAAGACAGAAATAACCCTGCAGAACCCCCATTCCAAACTACAACTCTTCCAACAGTCTGCACGCTTGTTCGTCGTTATGTGAAGCCACACCTTGTACCAATCTGTGTTGCAGTTTGACAGCCAGGAGTTTAATACTGACTGTTGATGAAACTAATTAACATCTGATGGGTGGCCTCCTTATTGTTTCTAATGTGTGCACAAGTTGGGCAACTGATTTCCAAAACCTTAAAAATAAGTTGAATTTCCTTAAACACGGGAAATATCTGATATTCACCAAAATTGGGGCTCATCGAAAAATAACAAAAACAAAAGCTTTCGTCAAGAGAGTTGCCTCCAAAGCTGTTTTTATTTCTCCACACAACAGGTTTGCGTGATTGCCCCCACCCACATTCGTCAGTACGACAGCATCACTGTATTAATAGAAGCGGCACATTGCGTTGCATCTGGCCGTCCAGATTTAACTCCAGACATGGTGGAGCAGATTCGTCGTGTCAGTTGTTTCCCTTTATGCGTCAAATAAAAAGCAATACCTCCCAAAGCCAAATCTAGAGTTTTTTTTCTTGGAAAGCAATCAAAGCGGAGCAGGGCGGAAACGGAGCACATGCATGATGATGTGTAGCTGAAGAGAGAAGCACCTGGTTCTGGGTTTTTTTTTGTTTTTTTTTTGGCTGCTTGTCTTCCACTGAATTGCGAGCGCATGAAAGAAAAGTTGCGCAAAACTTCAAAGAGAGTCCTAATCCGTGGATGTTATTCACTGTACCTCTCTGCAGGGAGTGTGAGGAGGGCTGTCGATGAACTTATTTCTCAGGGAATCAGAAGCACATTACTCAGAGCTTTGAACTTTTTAACGGCTGTGACTGTCTGCAGGCTGTGTGACCGGACACAAAAAAAAAGAAAACCTAACACACACTCTCAAAAGAACCTGTTTTTCTGCACATGGGGCCCAGGTGGGAAGAAAGGACTGGATGACAGAAACCAAAGTGAGAATCTGTTGTCCTGTAGCTGACCTCACCTTCTGCAAAGGTGTTGCATGCTGCTACAGCTCAGAGGAACGGCGGGCAGTGAGAAAAAAACTCACAACCTGTGACTCAACGGCCTGGAACCCTCATGTCCTGTTCTAGTCTGCAGCGCAAACACCAACACCTTCTGTGCTTCTTTTCATGTCGGCTAACTTCACACAATTAGGTGTTCAAAGCATTTTTAGACGGCACCCGTGACGCCTTTAAAGATCTGTCACCGCCGAGGCACGTAATCGATGATGTTCCTGCACAGATCAGAATGTTAGCGCGTTAGTCATACAGTTTGTCTCCGCCGAGAGACACTGTGTGTTTGTTTCCTCTTTGGGAGGCCTCTGTCTCTTTCCTCTGCACGCCTGACTGGACAGTCTGGCTCCCAGATAGCATCAGGCTGTCTGAGATTAGCACTCATGAGGGCGCAGTTAAACTTGTAAAAGCTCTGGACTCCTGTCCCGGCTGCCTCTGTTCTACACAATGCACAAATAGCCGTTGTGAGCGTGGCACAATACTGATAGCCTGTCTGCATTGTCACCGTGCCTCTCGACTGTGCCTAAGCCTCGGAGCTTATTGTCGAGGCAGCCACAGATCCTGGCCCAGGAGCGGACTGTGGAGCCTGCCGGTGTTGTTGCCAGGCAGTTTAGCAGTGTAACATACAGATAACGAAGCTGCTCTGTGTCCCCTGGCGCAACATTTTTGGAACTGAGCAGCTGATAACTAATCATCCAGGCTGCAGCCCAAAGTCTGCCTTCTGTTTGGTGAAACACTAAAGAACACTATGAATGAAATGCACTATGGTTTCAATGTGTTGTCTTTTATTGCACTATGGACGCAGCAGAAGCAGATGCTTGTTGAAGTTTATGTTTTTATTGGTGAACCAACTCAGATATATAAACCCTCTGAACTTTCCACCATTTTCTTGGTGTGTTTTTGCTGCTGTGATATTTTTGTAATAATTTCTCCCCTGCAATATAAAGTCCTGCATCTCCAAGGAAACAGTGCAACCACGGCTAGAAGGAAAGATCTCAAAAATGTCCTTTGTGCAGTATGACACAGTTATAATGCCACAATCATAAAAAAGAAAAAGTGAAAGTTGGATTTCTTTGATTAGTTGTTTAATAAAAAGTGATCAACACGTTCACCTTTAGAGTCCACAGTTGTTAACGATGTTGGAAAAATGGTGGCTTCACACACGATAGATATTTTACTCTTTAAACTTTATTGTCATACTGGTCTCCTATCTGCTCTGTGTAAACACAGCCTGCAGTTCAGCCCAGTTCAACCAAAAAGTCCTTGAATTTTTGCCGCATGACTGATGCTCACACTTGAGGCAGTCATGGCCTC